GCGGCAGCAGGAGGCCCCGAGGGACCTGGCGGAGGCCTCGCCCACCCAGCACGCCCGTCCCCCCAGGGCCCTGGCACCCGAGAGCCGGGTGGGGGTCGGGCCTGTAGTCACCGAAGCGGGAAGTTACTGCAGCGAAGTGATCCCAGGCGGCCTCGATGGCAACGCCACGTCCCCCGAGCCCTGCTCCACGAAGCCGTGAGCCCCGACACCGGGCAGCGTGTGGGTTCCTGGGCGCCCGTCCCCCCAGCGCCAGGGCCCTGAGCAGGTGCCGTCATGGTTACGGCCTGTCCAGGAGGCATACCTTTCCCCTGTGGGGGCTCCGTCCCCACACAAATCATCACCCAGTTCCTTCCCAGGCCACCACCGTGCCCACCCCCCAGACCACCACCGTGCACGGGGTTTGTGCACTGTGGGGGGGGGGGGCATGGCCTGCGGGGAGCAGCCCGCTGCGGGAGCAGCCGCTCATCCAGGTGAGCCCAGCGGCTGCGGACCACCCTCTGAGCGGCTGCCCCCACTGTGGGAGTGCACTGACCCCCAGGGGCAGCTCCGGTGTTGAGCATCTGCCCCTGGGGGTCAGTGTGTGTCATAGCGACTGGCCGACCAGTGGTCCTGGTCGTTCCGCCATTCGGTCGCTGGGCTTTTATTATATAGGATGTTTCCATCTCGTTCCCTCTCCCTTCCGCTCTGACATCAGTAAAATCTTGTTCTTTAAGGGAGGGAAGCCCTGACAAATGCCGTGGGCCTGGAGGACACGTCGAGTGAAGGAAGCCGGGCACCGAGGGGCACGCCCTGCAGGCCCCACCCCAGGGCCCGGGCGGCTCCAGGGACCGACACCACGGCGGCCGCATCTAACACCTGGACGGGGGCCCGCGGCGCGTTTTTCCGTCTCCGCGTGCACAGGCGGCTGTGATAGGGCTCTGCTCCCGCCTGGAGAGGGTCAGCCCGTGATCCGACCAGCCAGGCGGACGAGGTGCACAGGAAGGGGTGGGGGATGGGGCAGTTTGGGGGCTCGGTCTCTGACCACAGGGCTGACTTTTCTCCATTCTTCCCGCGCCCAGTAACTCCACCAACGCCCGCACTGTGCCCCTTTCCTGGGCCTGGATGACGAACGTGTGTCCCTACAGAGTCTGACCTCGTCCCGGGAAACTGTTACACCAGCTGGAAACCATTCGTTCCATTTATTTTCTGGTCTCGCAGGAGCGAGCCGGGCAGGCAGGGCTCAGCAGGGCAAAGCTGCTGCACCTGAGGCTGGCGCAGCTGGCGCTGGCGGGCAAAGACCAGCGGGAAAGCCACAGAGACGGGTGGGGGGCGGGGCGGGGGGAGCACGGCCAGAGGGAGAGCCAGTGGTGCAACCCACAGCAAGAAATACGAGCGGGGGCTGCTCCCTCCTCCCCAGCGGCCCTCCTCCTGCCCCCCATCATTGCCGTTTCTCTCCCTCTCCCTTCCTCTCTGACATCAATAAAAATCCATTTCTGTTAAAAAGGGAGCTATTTTGCCAGGGGTTTCACCGCTGTCATGTCTCCCGAGAAGGTCCCCCATCGAGCCCACCCGGGGCCTCAGGATGAAGCTTCTTAGGAAATCTGTGCGTGTGACGGCGCTAAAGGGAGGCCATCGCGGAGGAGCCGGGCCTCCCGTGACCAGCGTCCTCCTCCTCCTCCTCCTCCTCCTCCTCCTCCTCCTCCTCCTCCTCCTCCTCCTTCTTCTTCTTCTTCTTCTTCTTCTTCTTCTCTCTCTTTCTCTCTCTCTCTCTCTCTCTCTCTCTCTCTCTCTCTCTCTCTCTCTCTTCTGTATTCGAACCTCAGGCGGGTCAATCCCCAGGCCAATGCTCTATCCACTGAGCCAAACCAACCTGCCCTCCTCTACTCTCTCTTTTTTAGGGCCTGACGTAGAGGGTTTCAGTCGCCTCCTTTTTTCTGGTGGATTCAACTGAGACCTCTTGTTGAGGTTGAAGCCCTCACATCTGCCTCTTGTTGGTCCCTGAGAGAGAGAATCCCACAGGCCCCTGTAGTTCATTGGGAAATCCCTGCATGAGGAGAGAAAAGGGGACTGTCATTTCTTTCCATGTCTCTGATATTCAGAAATATTCCCCGAGAAAACTGGGGAGAAGAGACAGGAATGAGGTGACGTGTGCCTAGCTGCTGAGAAGTCTCAGGCTCTGAAGGAATCACAGGGGAACTCCCTGTGGACTGAAAGGCGTCCGGTCGGCCTCGGTCTGGAAGAACGTCTGGGCTCAATAGTCCTTTTCCAGAGAGCGGGTTGCCTACCTCGGTGAAGACGTTGCACCGTGGGCATGTTTTCCGTCCCCTTCCTCTGACCTCATCCTCTTGGGTTTCCTCTCCGCAGAGCCAATGGAGCGGTTGTATCTCAGACTCGGGCCCAAAACCCTCTCGGATGAGTTGTCGCACCTGGATCCTGCCCTCACCTCACCCGGCATAGCCACGTGCACATGTTCACGTACATTAACAGTTGGTGAGAACGTCAAGAGAGCATACTGGGCGAGAGATGGGTATATTGACGACTTATTATCTCATCCTAATCTCTGATTCATTATGGCAGTTCTTCCGGAACACTGGGAGTTTGCTGTGCTTTTCCCTGGAGTTTTCCCTGCCCCTGTACCTCACCATGGACTGCACCCACTCGACAGGGACTGTCATGTGTTCAAAGCACAGTGTCACTCATAGAAATAAACGGTGCGATGCCCCCTCCCCTAAGGTGCTCCTTCTGCACGGAGCCTCTCACGGACGGTCAAAGACAGACAACAGGGTAGATGGGTGGTAGAGGGTTCGGTGAGAATGGGGAGCAACTGGAGAAACAAAACCTTAAAAGAATGGTTCTTTCTCTTGTTCTTTTCCTTTTTCTTTAAAAAAATAAAAGAAAAAAGAAATATGAGAGGGGTTTGCAGATGTTCATACATAAACAATACAATAATCTTATCTGATAAAGAGGGAACGTGCACATTTACCATCATTCTGTAACGGTCACGATGGCGGCACCCACAGCGGAGGCAGGGACCTGAGGCTGGGCCCCCCGCCTGGCAGGGCTGGACGGGGGACCTCAGGCCGCACCCCCAGCCCTGAAGGGCTTGATGGGGAACCTCAAGGTGCACCCCCCGCCCCAGCGCTGGGCCAGGTGACCTGAGGCCACGCCCCCCACCCTGTGGGGCTTGACCAGAGTGGGGCCGGCTGGGGTCTGGATCTAGCTCAATGGGGGTGGGGCCAGCTGGGCCTGGGTCTCGCGCGATTTTGAGGTGCATGTGGGTGGGCGGGGACTTGACTCTGACAGGAGGAAGATGTTCATATACGTTTTACTAATTTTTTTTCATCGCTGACACTTCTATTATAGAGAAAGGGCAAATAGCAATATTAAAATATTCCCTCTAATTAATTCCCTGTTAATGTGCACGAATTTCATGCACCGGGCCACTAGTTAATGATAATACAAGAATAAACTCTGTGTGTCAAGTACTCCTTTTGCCCACCTGCACGTGTGACCTTCTTCCCATCTCTCTTTTGTTTTTAATATTTTTTTTTTATTGATTTCAGAGAGGAAGAGAGAGGGAGAGAGAGATGGAAAAGCAATGATAGGAGAGAGTCATGGACCGGCTGCCTCCTGCACGCCCCTCACTGGGGACTGAGCCCACAACCTGAGCCTGTGTCCTGTCCAGGAATCAACCGTGGCCTCCTGGCCCCTAGGTCGACACTCAACCACTGAGCCACGCTGGCCGGGCACTTTCTTCACGTTTCTGGCTCCCAGCTCCTAAAACCCCTGGAATTTCCTGAGTGACAACGTGTCTCGGTCTCCCTAACAAACCCCTTTCCACCCCCTGGGCATGTTGAGGGGCGTGGAAAGCCCTCAGGATGGGGGTTGGTTGTGAAGGGAGCAAACCCTGGGCCTTTGTCCCGCCTCCTCCCTGAGGAGGGGACAGGGTGGAGGTGAGTTCAGTGACCAATGGCCAGCGGTTCCATCAGCCACGACTGTGGAAAGCAGCTGAACCCCAAAGGACAGGCTCGGGGGGCTCCTGGCTGGGGACCACGGGAGATTGGGGGCGTGGCCCTGGGGGCAGGGCCCCCCCTTGTCCTGAGCATCTCCTCTGCCTGGCTGGTCCTGGGCTTTATTCGTGACAATAGGCCAGCGCTCCAGTAGCTCAAGCATTCCCCGAGCCAAGGTGAGCCACCCCAGCAAGTCCCAGGAGGTGTCGGCACCCCCAGCTGCAGCCGAGGGTCAGTGCAGGGGACAGACTGTGGTTGGCCTGTGGTGGGGCGGGGCGGGGGCCTCTGTCTGAGCCTGTGGGGTGGGGGGTGGGAGCTGCCCTGCTGACTGCCCAGTGGGCACTGAAATAAATGTGTGGCCGGCCCGTGTGGCTCAGCGGTTGAGTGTCGACCTAGGGACCAGGAGGTCAGGGTTCGATACCTGGTCAAGGCACAGGCCCGGGTTGTGGGCTCCGTCCCCAGTGAGGGGCGTGCAGGAGGCAGCCAATGGCTCCCTCCCATCCCTGGTGTTTCTATCTCTCTCTCTCCCTCTCCCTTCCTCTCTGAAATCAATAAAAATATATAATTTAAAAATTAAATAGAGAATGAAATAAGCGTGTGCTCGGCGCCGGGTGCTGCGCGCCGGTGACACGCTGCGGGCGGATTGCACGGGGCCTGCGCTCGGCTGGCGTCACGCCTGTCCCACGAGCACCTGGCTCAGGTGGGGACCTGTGTCCCTGCAGCTGGGGCTGGGGGCGCGCCCGTAGGAGGGGCTGGCGTCAGGATGGAGCGGGGCGTGGAGGGGGCAGCCGGGGGCAGGCAGCCCTGCCCGACCAGCGAGGGGCCTGGGGCGGACTGTGCCCGGGCTGGTGAGGACGAAGGGACAGGGAATGACCAGCACCCCGCGGGGCTGGCCCTGTCCCCTTGTTTCTCTGGGGGAGAGGTCAGCTGTGCCCTCCCGCCCTCGCCTCCCGCCCGCCCCCACCGGCCCCAGGAAAGACGCGGCAGACGGGCGCTGGTGTGTCTCTTTATTGTGAGGGGCTCAGAGCAGCTGGTCCAGGCGGCACCGAGGGGCCTGGTCCCAGGGGGGCGGCGCCCAGCAGCCTCATGGCCTCAGCCCCTCCTGGGGCCCCCGACTGGGAGGAGGGGTGACATCGGAGGAGGGGTCACGCCGTCCTGCAGGGAGGCCGAGGTCCTGGAATGGACGAGGGGCCCCTATGATCCTGGGATCCTGAAGGACAGACCTCGCCAGCGCCCCTGGGGGTGCGGATGCCCCTCCTGGGGAGACAGAGCCCCCCTCACCCACCTCAGGCCCAGTGCCCGCCCCCCACTCCAGCCCCTCGCAGCCCCTCCGGTGCCCACACCCGGCCCAGGATCCTGGGCCGTCGCCTGTGCGTGTGGCCAGGACACAGGAGACACACGGCAGTTCAAGGCCCTTCAGAGGGTGGGCAAGAGGCAGCCGATTCCCGAGTCCCCAGGAGACCCAGGCTGCAGCCCTTCCCACGGCGGGTGGGGTGGGGGGTGATGGAGGGGAGTCAGGGCCCCAGGACCCCACACCCAGGACCCTGAGCGGGGCAGGTACGTTACCCAGGAGGCGGGTCGGCAGGACTCGCTTAGACACGGCACCTCTCTGCGGGAGGAGGGGCGGCGTGGGAGGTCACAGGTCAGCGACCACACCAGGGGGACCCCACCTCCCACCCACCTCCCGGGACGCCTGGGGGACGGGGAGGCCGCCAGGGGAGAAAGACCCTCCCCGTGCGCACGGCCTTCTGACTTGGGGGGCCGGGGGACGAGGGCAGGGGGGCTGGGGGACGGGGGGTATCAGGGGGTGGGGGGGTCACCTTGCGCCTGGGTCTGGATGCGGATGATACGGATGTGCATGGACAGCAGCCTCAGGGCCCGGCCGAACTGCTCCATGGCCACCTGGTCCACCTCCGGGGTCCTGGCTGTGAGGGGCGGGCGTCAGAGTGCTGCTCCCCGGGCCCAGGCAGGGCCAGGCTCCCAGCTGCCTCCAGGGCGGGGATGTACGCACCCAGGTACTGGCAGGCCCGGCTCTGGGCGGGGGCGGCCGTGTTCTCCGCGCAGACAAACAGGTAGTTCTTGTAGTCGGTGTCCAGCACCACGAGCCTGTTCTCCTCCAGGTCTGGGCGAGAAGCAGAGAGCGAAGCGAAGGTGAGGTCCCCGCGCCCACGGGCTGTGGGCTCCTGCCCATAACCGACCCCTCGACCAGAGGCCCGCGAGGCAGGAGAGGAAGCGAGAGGATGGGACACTCAGCACCTGCTGCAGGTGAGCGGCCAGGTGTGCGGCCGGCCAGGTGGGCTCAGGCCCAAGGGGCAGAGGCAGACAGGAGGAGCTGGAGGAGGGGTGAGGGGTGAGGGCAGGAGGCACTTTGGCAGGGGGAGGGGAAGGGGAGGGGAGGAGGAGGGGAGAGGGAGGGCGGGACAGCCTGGAGCCATCCTGCGGGGAGCACAGAGTTTGCCGGAGGGACGAGAAGTCTCCCTGCACCACTTCCCTCTAAGTTCTGAGCCGCCCTCGCTGGGTCGTGGCTTGTGTGGCCCTCGAGCTGGAGGGCCCCAGGTTTGATTCTGGCCGAGGACACACACGTCGGTGCAGGCCTGACCCCCGGGCCCCGGTCGGGTGCGTTCAGGAGGCAACCAGTCCATGCGTCTCTCTCACATCGATGTTTCTCTCTGTCTCTCCCCCTCCCTCCCCCTCTCTAAAAACCAATGAAGAAACATCCTGGGGTGAGGATTAAAAATTTAAAATTTCGCCCAACCAGGGTGGCTTAGTGGTTGAGCATCAACCCAGGAACCAGGAGGCCACTGGTTTGGTTCCTGGTGGGGGCGCAGGCCCGGTCGGGGCTCCGTCCCCAGTGGGGGGCGCGCAGGAGGCAGCCGATCGATGGGTGATGTTCCTCTCTCATCACTGATGTTTCTCTCTCTCTGTCCCTCCCCCTTCCTCTCTCTCTAAAAATCACTGAAAACATATTAAAAAATAAGTAAATAAAAAATAGAAATGTCTGTGCCGATGCCCCGGGACAAGAGGCTGACCCTGCGCCGTCTCTATTTTGTGTTTCGTTATCAAAGATTAAGGCAGAATGTGCCAAGTGTCCTGGAGAATCCGCGGAGAGGGAAGCGCTGAGGGTCCTCTGACGCCGTGAGAGGTGCAGGCCCAGCTCAGGTGTCACCCTCCACCGCCTGCAGTGAGCAGGATGCAGCCCTGCAGCCCCCCCCCCCCCCCCCGCCAAGCGCTGCCCCCCGCGGGCCCGCCCCGCACCCCCTGAGGCACCCACAGGCCCACTCCCGCCTCCCGCCTCCCGCCTCCCGCCTCCCGCAGGGCTGAGGCTGAGCTCTGGGCCGGCCCTGGGCCCGGCCACTCACAGTCGATGTTGAACGTCCCTGCTCGCCCGGTTCTCTCGGCCAAGATCTTCTCCTCAACACACCGGCCGCCCTCCCTGAAGGGCGGTGACCGCGTAACGGTGACACCCAGGCTGAGGCAGCCACTGTCACCCTCACACAGACAGGGCCATGGCGGGAGGGCCCGGCCCCGCTGCCCCTGGCCAGCGGCCTCCACACAGGCCTCCCCACCCTGACCCCGCGTCGCTCTGTGGCCCCAGAGCCCTGGGCAGGGGCTCCAAGGGGCCCGGAACCTCCTGGCCCTGCCCCCCGACCCCCGACCCCAACCCCATGCCGCCCACGGGAAGCCGGGTCCCCTCAGGAGCCCTGCCCACCCCCCTGTCCTGGCACCCGGCCCCCTCCCGGCAGCCGGACACCCACCGTCTGTGCACCATGATCTCCAGGTCGCCCTGGGGGGTGGGCCGCAGCTCCTTGACGTACAGCCTCAGGGCGGTGTTCTGGGTGCTCGGCCAGGCGAGGTCGCTGACCGCCGTGGCCACGGAGAACCAGGTCCCGGCCACCTGGGGAGGGGCCGTGAGCTGCACTGGGGGGCGGGCGGGGACCCCAGCTCCCGGCTGGGCTCTCCGTCCCTCCCGTCTGGGCCAGGCCCCGTCTAACTGGGGTCACGAGCACGCCGGCGCCCAGCGTGCGGCCAGGCACTTGCAAGGACACCCCGTGCAGCCCCGGGGGCTCAGAAGCCACATCATGAGTCTCCCAGCACCACCGGGGCCTTGGGAGAGCAGCAGAGGGCCCCAACGTCCCAGCCGCCCCGTCTTCTGAGGCCCCCGCCGCCCTGCACTCAGCCCCGCCCCAGCCTCCCCACGCACAGCACCCCGTCCCCGACCTTCTGGACGTCCAGGTCCTCCCTGGTCTGGGGGACGCCCATGTCCTGGGTGCCGCACACCAGGGCCACGCTGAGAGCGAGCAGGAGGCACCTCATGGCTGCGGCTGCGGGACTTCCAGCTCCGAGCGCTGAGGCCGAGGCGGCGGGCGCGGGGCCTTATATGGGAGCCGGGCGGCCGCGTGGCCCCGGGTTCCCCGAATCCCCAAGGCTCCTTCCTCCCGGGGACAATAGGAGGCCTTCTTCCCGCTGAGCTGAAGCCGGAAGGTCCGCTGTGTCCCCCAGTTCCCGGTAGGGCCCCGCAGGGAAGGATGGGGGGCTGGGCTGGCCGCCAGCGGGAGGGACACTGGGGGCCGGGCTCTGGACAGTGGCCTGAGCCGTTTCTCTCTGGACTCCCTGAGTCCCGCCCGTCCCAGGAGCCAGGACAGCACCCCGTCTGGAAAACCTGGGGTCACCGCGGCGGGTCCGAAGGTCTTGACTTCTTCTCCCCAAAATCACCTCTTTTTAAATGTGTTGGTTTTTAGAGAGAGAGGAAGGGAGGGGGAGAGAGATGGAAATACCGATCGGCTGCCCCTGCATGTCGCCTCCTGGGGATCAAGCTCACAACCCGGACGTGTGACCTGACCGGGAATCGGCCGCACGGCACCGCCTGACCTCGCTGTCGCTCCGATCCGATCCGATCCGTCCCCTGGCTCGAGGCTCACAGCTATCTGCCTGATGGGCAAAATGAGTGACACAGCCTGTCAACCGCCCCCCCTCAGCGATCCAGCCCCCAGTTCAGACCAGGTTATTCTCTAGAAACGTAAGTGACTCGGTCTTCGCCCGGAGCCCATCGAAAGCACCTGGGGACGTCCCAGGACCGCTCACTGGCCCAGAGCCCGGAGGCAGGGCCCCGCGGCCACAGACCACACGCCGTGGGGCGACCCTCAGCCGAGAAGGAGGCCAGAGGGGCCCTCGGGAGCCAGGTGCTCAGGTCTCCCTGGCCCTTGTGCACCAGTCTCCCACCGGCGGGGGTGGGGGGTCCCCGGGAGGTGAGCCAGAGGCCCAGGCGCTGGGCAGACAGCGGCCGGCCCCTGTGAGGGAGGTGGACGAGGGCAAGGATGCTGAGCCAGCACAGCAGCCCGAGAAGCACGGCGGACGGCCTCCCTCACGGGCCCTCAGATGCTCAGGAAAACCCTGCCAACCCGGTTCGCAGCCAGCGGAGGCCCCCCCATCTCAGGGCGCGGGGATGGCCACGCTGAAGGGGCCCCAAAAACCCTCCTGTTGCCTTGCTTTCCTGGTTTTCCGAGCCCTTGTGCGATCCATCAACGATGAAATCACAGAAAGGCCGCCCTCTGGGAGGGGGCGGAACAGGACAGGATTTTTAACTCCCACCCTGGAATTTTCAGCATTTCCTGACTTTTGCATAATCGGAATCTAAGCAGGTTACTTGGACTGAATAGATGGAAATGCACTTGCATGCAATTTTACACGTAAGAAATGCAAATTGCCTGTAATCTCCCGCCCCCCAGATCCCCGGGTTGCCATCAAGTACGTGATAAATCCAGGGATAACTCACCTTGTTGCCATGGTTTCTCATGTGCTCTCTGCATAATCTGTGCCCATCGAGGCCCTCCAGGCAGTAGGTCCTTTCTTTATAGGCATTGGGGGAGGGGCTGCGTGCACTGGATGGCTGAGTACACTGGGGCCCATGGGCACTGGGGGCATGTGCACTGGGTGTGGGTGCACTGAGTGTGTGTGCACTGGGTTGTGTGCACTGGGTGTGTGCACTGGGTGTGTGTGCACTGAGTGTGTGTGTGCACTGGGTGTGTGTGCACTGGGGTGTGTGCACTGGGTGTGTGCACTGGGTGTGTGTGTACTGGGGTGTGTGCTCTGGGTGTGTGTGCACTGGGTGTGTGTGTGCACTGGGGTGTGTGCACTGTGTGTGTGTACACTGAGTGTGTGCACTGGTGTGTGTGTACTGGGGTGTGTGCACTGGGTGTGTGCACTGGGGTGTGTCTGTGCACTGGGGTGTGTGTACTGGGTGTGTGCTCTGGGTGTGTGTGCACTGGGTGTGTGTGTGCACTGGGGTGTGTGCACTGTGTGTGTGTACACTGAGTGTGTGCACTGGGTGTGTGTGTACTGGGTGTGTGCTCTGGGTGTGTGTGCACTGGGGTGTGTGTGTGCACTGGGGTGTGTGCACTGTGTGTGTGTACACTGAGTGTGTGTGTGTACTGGGGTGTATGCACTGGGTGTGTGCACTGGGGTGTGTCTGTGCACTGGGGTGTGTGCACTGGGGTGTGTGTGTGCACTGGGGTGTGTGCACTGAGTGTGTGAACTGGGTGTGTGTGTACTGGGGTGTGTGCACTGGGTGTGTGCACTGGGGTGTGTCTGTGCACTGGGGTGTGTGCACTGGGGTGTGTGTGTGCACTGGGGTGTGTGCACTGTGTGTGTGTACACTGAGTGTGTGCACTGGGTGTGTGTGTACTGGGGTGTGTGCACTGGGTGTGTGCACTGGGGTGTGTGTGTGCACTGTGTGTGTGAGCACTGAGTGTGTGCACTGGGTGTGTGTGTACTGGGGTGTGTGCACTGGGGTGTGTGTGTACTGGGGTGTGTGCACTGGGTGTGTGCACTGGGGTGTGTGTGTGCACTGTGTGTGTGTACACTGAGTGTGTGCACTGGGTGTGTGTGTACTGGGGTGTGTGCACTGGGGTGTGTGTGTACTGGGGTGTGTGCACTGGGTGTGTGCACTGGGGTGTGTGTGTGCACTGGGGTGTGTGTACTGAGTGTGTGAATTGGGTGTGTGTGTACTGGGGTGTGTGCACTGGGTGTGTGCACTGGGTGTGTGTGTGCACTGGGGTGTGTGTACTGAGTGTGTGAATTGGGTGTGTGTGTACTGGGGTGTGTGCACTGGGTGTGTGCACTGGGGTGTGTGAGCACTGAGTGTGTGCACTGGGTGTGTGTGTACTGGGGTGTGTGCACTGGGGTGTGTGTGTACTGGGGTGTGTGCACTGGGTGTGTGCACTGGGGTGTGTGTGCGCACTGGGGTGTGTGCACTGAGTGTGTGAACTGGGTGTGTGTGCACTGTGTGTGTGCACTGGGTGTGTGTGTACTGGGGTGTGTGCACTGGGTGTGTGCACTGGGGTGTGTGTGTGCACTGGGGTGTGTGCACTGGGGTGTGTGTGTGCACTGGGGTGTGTGCACTGAGTGTGTGAACTGGGTGTGTGTGTACTGGGTGTGTGTGCACTGGGTGTGTGTGCACTGGGGTGTGTGCACTGAGTGTGTGCACTGGGTGTGTGTGCACTGGGGTGTGTGCACTGGGTGTGTGTGCACTGGGTGTGTGTGCACTGGGGTGTGTGCACTGAGTGTGTGAACTGGGTGTGTGTGCACTGGGTGTGTGTGCACTGGGGTGTGTGAACTGGGTGTGTGTGCACTGGGTGTGTGTGCACTGGGGTGTGTGCACTGGGTGTGTGTGCACTGGGTGTGTGTGTTATGCCCAGAGCTCGGGGTCCCCAACAATCCACCACCAGGGAGCCCCCTCCGATGCAAAAGCAACGAGTCTTTATTGATCAATTCTAGAATTGGCTCCCAGCCTCTGTCCGGCGCAGCGGTGAGGCGAGAGAGCGTGTCCCAGGAGAACAGAGGTTATATAGGGCTAGCTATTTGGGGTGGGCTTTAGGGGTGGCGTGAGTTACAGAGATTGGTCAGGGTTTTATAGCATAAGGGTAGGGTCAGGAAGTGACCATCACATTCTGAAGGTTGGAGCCATCCTCCACTGTAGCCTTATTAGGACCTTAGCTACATTTCTGGAGCTTCATTGGTCCACTCAGGTGGGCGGTTGGGAGAGTTAGGACAATACCAGCATTCTTGTGGTCACTCTCGGGGGGGGGGGGCGGCTTGGGCTGAGGGCCCAGCCTTGCAAGACAAGATAGAGGAGAGGGAGAAGAGTATGTCCCTGCTTCGTCCTTGAAGAGGGAGGAGGGTGTATTTCTGCTTAGTTCTTTCAAGTTCCGTTCTGCGGGCCCTGGGCCCTCGAGCAGAGCCGGGCAGCGCCCAGGTCCCCAGTGGCGTCACGAATCCTGCCCAGGGCAGACTCGAGCCACTGAGCCCGCCCGGCAGGTTGATGCCATAGCGGGAGGCCAAGCACGCGCCTGGCTGGACGCTGAGAGCTTGGGGCGGCCGGGCGGGGCCTGGGGCAGCTGTGCGGGTCCTGGGGCGGCCATGAGGGGCCTGGGGTGGCCGGCCGGGGCCTGGGGCAGCTGTGTGGGTCCTGGGGCGGCCATGAGGGGCCTGGGGCAGCTGGGCGGGGACAGTGGACGGGGAGGGAGGGCGGGTGCGAGGCAGGGGTGGGAGCTGAGGCTCTGCAGAGGCCATCGGGCAGCACGGCTGACGTCCAGCGACGAGGAGGCCCCTGGACGAGCAGCAGGACGTGTCTCTCGGGCGTGCAGCACCCCCTGCCTCCCAGGCGGCGTGTGCCTCAGCCCCGGCCTCACTCCCAGGTCCCCAGGCTCCGGCTGGGGAGCCCACTAGCCCCCCTGAGCTTGCTGATTAGCCCGAGGCCGGCCTGGCCTCGTCCCTTGCAGGCGGGGGGGGGGGGGGGGCTGGGGCGGGGGCACAGGAGCTTCTGCTTGATCACAACTCAGCTCTGCCCACTTTCTCTGCTCTTGGTTTGCTGGGGAAGGCGGCGATGTCACGGGTCACAGTAGCCCGCAACCCAGGCCTGTGCCCTTGACCGGAATCAAACCCTGACCTGCTGGTTCACAGGTCAACACTCAGCCACTGAGCCACGCCGGCCGAGCTCCCGCACTCTTCACGGCTCGCTCAAGTGGCACTTCCTCCAGGAAGCCCTCCCTGACTGCTGGGCCCCCCTGACCGAGTCGCGCCCGCTGTAGCTGGGTGCGGGGTGCCCGCGCCCGTGCCCCTCCCAACAAGGAGTCCGTCTGTGAGGCGTGCGTTCGCCTGTCTTGCTCACGGCTCGCCCCCAGGAGCTAGCGCGGTGCCCGGCACGGAACACGTGCTCACAAGGCTGGTGACAAGCGAGTGGCTTCCTGAGAGGGTGTCGGCCTCACGGGCGCGCAGGGTGGCGGCGGCCGCGCTGCACAGAAAGCACACGCGCGCGGGCAGTGGGCCAGCCGAGTCTATTGCACGGCAGACGAGGGCGGCAGCTTCTTCCTGCCACGCCCCCGGGGACGGGCCAGGAGGGGCGGTGACCCTGGAGGACGCCTTCGGGCCTGGGCCTCGCGCCCTCGGGGGCCTGGGCTCACCAGCCTCCTCTCAGCAAGCGGTGGGATGGGAAGACCTGCCTCAGCGACAAGGCTCCCCTGGTCGAGGGACCACACATCGGCCGCAGGAGAGAGCAGGACCAGGACGGCGGGCTCAGGGCAGGATGGTGTGCGCACAGGAGGCTGTGGGAGGGGGCAGAGACCGGGGGGTGGGGCCACGGCTGCCGTGCACAGGCGGGCGGTTCTCCCTGGCGTCCCCGGTGCTGGTCCCGGGCACCTCGAGGGCACAGCCCAGGAGCCCTGGCCCCCCAGCCACAGTGCAGAGAGCCGATGGGACCAGCACGCGTGCCTTCCGTCTCTCTAAGGAGCCGGACGGGGGCGGGGGTGGGGGCGGGGTGCGTGGCCCGAAAGCCTGGCGGCCGTACTTACCGTCTTTGGGGAGCACTGTCGCGCCCGCTGTGAGCTCCCGGACCTCACAGATGTCCATGAACCTCCTCATGCTCGGGAACGTGGTCCCGTTCTGTCTGCCTGGGCGGGAAGCAGTCATGGCCTCGGCGCGTCCACTCTGGCGCCCGGGGCTGCCCGCTCCCCCCCCACCCCGCCCAGCCCGGCCACGGCAGTGGGAGCTGATGAAGCGGGTCCTCGGGCGGGACTGGTGCCCCTCTAAGAAGAGGAAGTGGCCAGGCCGCCCGCCCTGCGAGGACCCCCAGGAAGAGGCCCCAGCACCCACCCTGCGGGCTCCCTGCACCACCTGTAGGCCGCCCGCGTGGCGTCTGTCCAGCGTCCCTGCACCGCCCTCCCAGCCGCCCCCACGCTCACTGCCCTGGACACGGGCGCCGGGAGGGACTCACTGAAGAGCAGCAGGGCCTGGGAGTGCCGGCCCGCCCGGCCCAGGCGCAGGTCGACCACGGCGTTGCTGTAGTCGGTGGTCAGCACGCGGAAGCCCTCCACCCCCTTCACTGGAAGGAGGAGCACAGAGCCACCTGACTCCTCCACCCACCCGAGGGGGTGGGCCCACCCGTCCGTATCCCAGGGGGCAAAGGGGCCACGGGGGCAGTGCAGGCGGCGTCATGCCCAGCGTCTGGGCTCGAGCCCGTGGACACCCCCCCCCCCCCCCGCCTTCCTCCCCGGCCTCACACGCACAGGGGTTCCGGAACACGGCCTTCTTCCCGTCCTTCCTCAGGACGACCGTGTGTGACTGGCACCCCTGAGACCTGCGGGGGGAGGGGGGCTGTGACTCTCAGGCAGGGAGCCCCACTTCCCACCCACAGCCACCAGCCCCCCCAGAAGACCCTCTTGGCCCCTCCTCCGAACTCTGCCCCGAGGGACCCAGGGGTGGGGGGTGGGGGCCCTGGAAGCCTCACTCCTGCTCCTGTGCCTTCGGGCTCTCGTTTCAGAACTTTCTGACCGGTCGGGGCCCATCTGCCACCCAGGGGACCCCCAGCACCAGCTGCCGCTCAGGGGACCCCCAGACACTGGCTGCCGCTCAGGGGACCCCCAGACACCGGCTGTCTGCCCCGAGCCCAGGCCCCAGTGCCTCTCTCTAACCAGCCCTTGGCCTTTCGGGGCAGGAAGTGGGGATGTGGCTGCCGGTCAGTCCTGATGGGATCCCCAGGCCGCCCAGGACCCTGCCCTGCCCCCAGGTCCTTCTGGTGGAGAGGGAGCCGCCTGGGCTGTTGGGGGCCGGGAAGGAGGGGGGCCCTCACCGGGGGAAGGCGAGGACCACCCGCAGCTGGCCCACTCCGTGCACCCGCACCACTGCCGCCCCCAGCTTCCGCGTGTCTCTGCCCGGCAGGAACCCCCTGGCGTCGGAGGCGATGGCGAGAATGTACCAGAACCCTGAGAACTGCAGAGAGGGCGCTGGGGAGCGTGGACGCTGCCCCCTCCCCAGGCCCGTGAACCCACCGGACACATGATCCCGGCCTGCGGCCCGGCCCACGTGCAGGGCTGTGGGGCCGGGGGTGGCACAGGGCTGGGCACCGAGGGCCGAGCCTCGTCCCATGTGGGCCTCTGGGGGGCCCTTTCCTCCCCACTCGCCCGGCACCCATCCCGCCGGCTTCCTGCTGCAAACCCGAGTTCCCAGCCTCTGCCCACGCCCCCCCACCGGAACCCGCCACCGGCCGGCGGTCCATTATCCCAGAACATGCGCTGCTCATTCCACCCCCTCTGCCCGCCCAGCACGTCCAGGTAACCTCAGGCCACGCTCGTCGGGGCCTCCGCTCGGCCCCACGGGGGGGTGGGGGGGGTACATCTCCAAAGAGGCTGTCAACCCCTCGGGGAGGCCGGTGGGCAGCCCGCTGGGCCCGTGGAAGTTCCTGCCGCCTCAGGACGCCCCCCCGCCTTCCCGCATCCCCGGCCTCTGTGGCTGGGCACTGGGCACAGGGACTGGGCACCAGGCTCACCTTGTTCCAGTTGAGGTTGTGGGACTCCCTGGGGAGCTGATCCTGGGGCTGGGCCCCCACAGCCAGCACCAGCGCCAGCACCAGCACCGGCGGCAGCCGCCCCAGCCCCATCTCGCCCTCCTCCCTCAGCCACCGACACCGAGTTTAAATCTCCCTGCCCGTCCGCCAACCACAGGCATCCGGCCAACCTGGCGCTGCCAGAGGGCCAGGGGTGGGCGAGGGGGAGGGCGGGGCTGTGGGCCCTCCCCTGGGCACAGGGGCCCGCCCCCGGCTCTCGGCCCTCAGAGCTGCACAGCCCCCTGGGGGGCCGGCCTGGGGGCCCTGAGACGGAGGTCCTGTTCCCGCTGTCACTCCCGGGGGCCCCTCGTCACCAGGGCAGGTGTCCCCGGAGCGGTGAGGCCCCAGGCGAGGAGCTTCTCTGGGCCACTGCACAGGAGCCGAGCTGACCTGGGAGCTGCCCCTCGGGGCCGGGGCCGGGACTGACGGCCGGGTGGCCACGTGTGTGCACACAGCACCTGTGCCTGTGGGTCTGTGCTCCCTGGAGAGCGAGGCCCCGCCTGCCCGACCCTGAGTGACAGGCAGCCCTCTCCTCCCTCAGCTCCCCCTGGCCTCGCTCCTGCCAGGGCTTCAGGCAGGGCCCCAGCTCACAGGGTGACAGGCTCAGGCCCCTTGCTGCCCCCGCCCCTGCCCCTGCCCCCTGCCCCCGCCCCTGCCCCTGCCCCTGCCCCTGCCCCTGCCCCTGCCCCAGCCCCTGCCCCTGCCCCTGCCCCTGCCCCAGAGCTCAGGCCGGGGAAATCCAAACTGGAGCCCTGGGCACTGGGGCCAGCTCCCTCGGCCCAGCATCCCGACCAGACTGCCCCCACCCGGGGGCCCTGCTCCAGCCCAGGCAGACCAGCCCCACCTGCCCAGGGGCCTTGGTGACTGAGGAAGAGCAGCCGCTCCCAGCCCAGCCCCCTTGGGCCCTGGGGACTCTGATGAGAGACGCAGGTGTAGATGGGGCTGTAGGTGGGGCCTCTTGTCCTGCAGCGGCCTCACTGCCCCGTGGGTCAGCCCTGGGGGAGCCACCCCACCCCACCCTGTCCCGTCCCAACCAAAGCCCGGCCAGAGCCCGGGAGGCAGCTGGGCAGCGGTCCACGTGTCGCACTCGTGAGGCCGGGGGCAGCTTGTGAAATCACTTTATTTGAATCCTCAGCCAGAGACCCCTGAGCAGCAGGCCCAACGCCCAGCCCTGGGCAGCCGGGCGGGGGAGGGCAGGCCTGGCCGCTCCACCAGGCCACGGTGGGCGCCGCCCCCTTCGGGGCCACAGCATTCACTGGAAACCAAGGCAAACATGGGGGGCCCAGGCTGACCTCGCGGGCATCTGCCCGCCAGGCCCCAGCCCCAGCCACTGACCCCCGCTGCCCACTGGGACGTGGGCCCCAGGCCCCGGCTCCCCCTGCCGCACGCCGGGCGACGCTCCGAAGGCAGCTCACCTGGAAGGCCTTGTGCGCACAGGTGACTGGAGGGGGAACAAGGTGGGCGGTGAGGGGCCAGGCCAGACGGCAGCCCCCCAGCCCCGGGCTTCCCAGGCCCTGCCCACGGTCTCCCCTGAGACTCCACAGGGAGAGGTGACCCCCCCCCCGGTTCTGCCTGACCCCCCGAGGGTCCCCATCGACACTCACGGTCGGGGCGCAGCTGGGCCTGCTGCTGCGAGAGGAAGCCGAGGCCCCGGCTCCACCTGGTGAAGAGGCTCATGGCCTCCTGGCTGGCCAGGTGTGTGCGGCCTGCGGGGAGGGCGCCCCGAGAGCTGGCCTGGGCTGGGGGGGCCAGGGGCCAACAGGAAACTGCCTCCACGACCCCCGGCCCCCGGCCCCCAGCCCCCGACCCCCGGCCCCCGGCCCCGGCCCCCGACCCCGGCCCCCGATCCCCAGCCCCGGCCCCCGGCCCCCGGCCCCCCGCCCCCGGCCCCTGGCCACGCACTGTACAGCTCCACGGTGCTGAAGGCCTCGTCCTGCTGCTCCAGCTGCGTGAAGACGACGGCGTAGTCCCTGAAGTTGGTGCCCAGCACGCGGTACTCCAGCACGCCCAGCGCTGCCACGGGCCCGGCGGGCGTCAGGGCTCCCAGAGGCCCCCCCAGGCCCAGGGCCCCAGCTGTCCCCCTCCCCCCGCAGCTGTGCCCAGAGCTGCCAGGGACGGGTGCTCCCCCGATCCTGTCCCCACCGGGGCCCGTGCCACTCCCTGCACCCGTGGAGGGGCTGGGGTCCCCGGGGGGCGTGGCGGGTGCAGGCCAGTCCTCTGTCCTCGGAGCCCCCAGCCTCCGACAAAATGGGGTCCCCTCGCTTCCAGTTGGGAGCAGCCCTGCGGATGCGCAGAGGGCTGAGGCCCCAGGAAACGGACCCGCCCGCCCTGCCCCGGACGGGACCGCTCGGCGTCCTCCTCACAGGGATTCTCGAACACCCAGGCAGGGTCCTGTCTCAGCAGCTCCACAGCACTCAGCTCACACCTCTCCTGCCTGGGGAGGAGAAGGCCATGTCCACTCAGGCCACGTCCACTCAGGCCACGTCCACTCAGGGCCCACCGTTTACACAGGGTTCAGACCCAGGACCACAGAAGACAGTTCTGCCCCCCAGACCCTCTGCTGACCAGCCAGTGTGGCCACGGGACCCGCCTTCCTCCCAGTGCCCCCAGTAACCCTGCTCCCCACCGAACTGGACCGTCCGGGCTGGGCCCAGAGCCCTGGGAGAGCCGGCCCCTCCCTGCCCCTCCCGGGACCTCATCGCCGGGTCCCCAGGGAGACGCGGACGCGAGGCTGAGGGCATCGGGGCGCCGGGCAGACGCAGCGGCCTGTACGTCGGGCAAAGCCACTCCCTCAAAGCGGCAACGTCCCTACGTCCCTACGTCACGTGCCCGAGTGACAAGAATAGGCAGGGAGTCCTGGGAGGAAGAGTGACCAGCGAGAGACGAGCCAGTGTGACAGCCCATGAGGGAAGCGCAGGCTCGCCCGGCGCGGGCTCCGTGGGTGAGCGTGGACCCAGGAACCAGGAGGTCGCAGTCCGATCCCCGCTCAGGGCACAGGCCCGGGCTGTGGGCTCCATCCCCATCGTGGGGCGGGCAGGAGGCGGCCGGCCCATGGTTCTCTCATCGTTGATGTTTCTCTCTCTCTCTCCGTCCCCCTTCCTCTCTGACGTCAATAAAAACATGTATTTTTTAAACACGGCACTCTGTGGGCTGACATGTCACGGTGCGCGGCACACGTGGTTAACCGACTCGAGTGTCCCGTGTGCCTGAGGGTCCCGGGAGCCACCAGAACCTAAAGCAGGCCGCCCGCAGCGTGGACCCACACCGGGCAGCCTTGGGGGCATGTCCTGCCCCGAGGCCCACCAGGCCCGGGGTCCAGGGCGCAGACGCAAGAGGCCAAGCCCAGGTGGAGCTCAGAGCAGAGCTGGCCGGGAGGGAGGGAGGCAGGGGCTGGGCACGTGTGCGGGCGCCCAAACCTCCGCGCCCGGGGAGCTGGACTCAGGCCGGAACCTTCGCCACGGCCTCGCCTGCCCAGCCCGGCCCGGCCCGGCGTGCGGGGCCAGGCTCCTCACCTGTGGCGGGAGGCCAGCACCGTCAGCTTGTTTTCGGGTGTGAGCGTCACCACGACGCCCTCCATGTTCTTCGTGGCCTTCTCCACCGCGAAGCCCCTTTCCCCGGAGGCCACGGCCACCACGTACCAGGCCCCCAGAAGCTGGACGGAGGAGGACAGGGTGAGGGCCGCCCTCCAGACTCAGAGGCACCCTGTCCACCCGGGAGCCCGGGCGCCCCTGGTGCAGGCCAGCCCCCCTCCCCCCTCTGGCGCCCGTGCCCTGGGGGAGCCCCGATCCTGTTACCTGCCCCGGGTCCAGCCTCCCCAGCCACGCGGCCGGGGCCCTGGGCACTGCGGCCAGAGCCAGCAGGGCCACCAGCACAGCCCTCATGCTCCTCAGTCCACACACCAGCCCCAGACGCCCGTTATATGGCTGAGTCGCTGTGGGCGACCAGTAACCACACGCCATCCTGCCTCCCTGCTGGCACCGCGGCCAAATTACCAAAGGTGGGGGCTCCTGATGCCCTGGGCTCTGTGCCCACCCAGCAGGGACAGCGGGGAGCGTGCCCTGCCAGTCCCTCCTCTCAACACTTCCTTCCGCTCAGAAGGTTCCAGAACAAGCACCTTAATCCCAGGCCGCACCTCCCTTCCCTCCCCTCTCCCCTCCTCCCCTCCCCCCTCCCCTCCCCCGACCCCGGAGGTCCAGCACCCTCCCTTTCTCCTCCTTCTGGAAAGAACAGACACCACTCCTTTTTTTTTTTTTTTTTTTTATTGATTTCAGAGATTAAGGGAGAGAGAGAGAAACATCAACGATGAGAGAGAATCATGGATCGGCCGCCTCCTGCACGCCCCGCACTGGGGATGGAGCCTGCAACCCGGGCCTGTGCCCTGAGCGGGAATCGAACCCTGACCTCCTGGTTAATAGGTCAATGATCAACCCCTGAGCCGTGCTGGCGGGCGAGAGAGGCGGCTCTTAAGCCCAGGCAGCTGCAGGCCAAGGTCAAGGCCAAGGATGACGGGCAAGAACGCCTGGACCGCCCACCCTGCCCCTTGGCCGTGGCCTCCGGCCCCCACGCACAGCGCTGGGGACGGCCTGGTCTCCCAGCCCCGCACCCCCTGGTCTGGGGCACGGGCAGCCTCCACGCTGCCGCCTCCCACACTGCAACCCCCACCTCTGCTCCCCATGACCTTGGCCGGGCCCCTCGGGGTCCCCTGGGAGCAGAGCACAGAGGCCTCAGCAGCATCCGTCTGAGCCCCCAGCACCCGGGAGGAGGCGGGAGGACCCCGCTCTGGTGGTGGGTGGTGCCACCTGGACGCGTTCCCAGCCCCCCGTGGCTGGCTGCCGCTCAGGGTTCTGTTGCCACAGAACAGGCGAGAGTTGGAGACGGAGGAAAGACGAGTCCTTTGTCCTGGCAGGGCTTTGGGGGGGAGGGGCCCCCACCGCAGCCCCGTGTGGGAGATGAACCGACGGTGGAGGTGAACTAAAGTCGACCCGCCCTCGCCCTCGCACAAGCTCGCGGCTCAGCTTCCCACTGCCTCCGGCACAGAACGTCTCAGCCTTGATCTTGGGCCAGGATGCCCCTGGCTGCCCGCTGGCTGGACGCCTGAGGGAAGAGAGTGAAGCAGGAAGACACACCTCACCCGCCAGCCTCTGGAGTCCCATGCCCCCAGGGGCCCCAGGTTCCGATTCCGGTCAGGGCAGTGCCTGGGTTTCAGTAGGGGGCGTGCAGAGGGCAGCCGATCCATGTGTCTCTCTCCCCGTTCCTTCCTCTCTCTCTAAAAATCAATAAGCACAAAAAAAAAAAAAAAATCAATAAGCTGGGCCGGCCTGGCTCAGGGGTTGAGCTTCGACCTAGGAACGAGGAGGCCGCAGTTCGATTCCCGGTCAGGGCACGGACCCCCGAGAGGCTCCTGGGGGTCCCCCGGCTTCGGCCCATTCGCAGCACAGTGTGCAGGTGGGGACACCCTCCTCAGGGGTCCTCCAGGGTGGGGGTGACTTGGGGGGGTCTCTGGGCACTTTCATGAGGGCACTGACCCATCCTGGGGGCCCCACCCTCATGACCTAGTTACCTCCCAGCACCTGCACCCCGGGGGGCAGGATTCCTTATGGACTTTGGGGGACACGCACTCTGACCGCAACACGGACTGTGGAAACGGCCAACGCGTCTGCGTCTACGTCACGAGCTGAGAGCCATGTTCGGAACGATATTTTCATTTTACGATTTTCCCTTTACAGCCGGGAACTATAACAAGCGGGGAGGTAGAGCTCCTCAGGGGTCAGGTGGGGCCCTGCGGGAGGAGAGACTCGGGGCAGCTCCCCGCGTGCAGAGGCCGCGGCCACGGGCCAGAGGGTCTCGGCAGAAACTCCGACCTCGGCTGTGCAGCCCCAGGACCGAGAAGACGCGTCCCCGCCGTCGCGCCGGCTGCTCCGGGACGAGCCCGCTTTCGGCGAGGCCGGCGCCTCGACTGGCTGAGCTCCGGCCCCGTGGCCTGTGGGCCACCCCTGGTTCCTGAGCACCTGGTCGGTCAGACTTCAGCCTCCAGACGTCCCTCCTCAGGTCTTTGGGGACCGGGTTCAAGGTTCCTTAAGGCGCGTCCTAGGCAGACCCTCCTCTGCCCACCCAGAGACCCTCTGTCTGGGCTGGTGCCCCCGGCCCCACCCCGGGCCAAGCACTTCCCTCCTGCCTCAACCAGGAGCCGTGGCCACCCACTGAGCACCCTCCTGCCCAGCGGCCCCAGCCCAGGGGTGGAACAAAAGGAGGAAACAGTGGGGGTCATGGCGACAGAGGGCACGGGGGAGGGGGGGTGCGGGGGGGGGGCCAGGCCTGTGCCCGGCCGGGCCAACCAATGCCAGGGGCTGGGCAATCGGGAGCCACGACAGATGTGGCCCTGAACCAGGAGCTCCCTCCGGGGGCCCAGCCAGGGCCGACTTGGGCTCAGGGAGCAGGACGAGACTGCGCAGGGAGGGGACCGTGGCAACCTGACCCGGGTCCGAGCGCCAGGGCTGGGCAGGGCCCTGAGCGGGAGGTGGAGGGGCGGGACCGCCATCCAGCCGGGCGGCGTCCCACACGGTCCACCTGGGCAGCGACGGTGTCATCTTGGGGCGGTCACGGAGGCACACCCCACCCCACCCCACCCCACCCCACCCCACCAGGAAAGACTCAGGGCAGCGGGTGTGGTCAGGGGTTTATTTGGGGCCAGTGCTGTTGGCCCCGGGGCAGGGGCAGGAGGGGCGAGTGGGGCAGGGGCAGGAGGGGCGGGTGGGCTCCCAGCGGCCGGCCTGGGGACAGGCTCCTAGATCAGCTCCTGCGACACAGAAGGGCGGGGCTCAGGGCTGCCGGCTCCCAGGGCCCCGGGCAGCGGTCAGGACCGCGCATGGGGCTGGCGTCCGGCTGCCGGGTGGTCAAGCAGAGCCCACTGTTCCTCTGCCTGCAGAGCCGCTGGCAGCCCCCCCTCTGGGCCGTGATGAGGCCGAGGGGCCCACAGGTGGTGGTGGGCGTGTGTGGGACATGGGGGCCTGAGACGGTGCCCACAGGGCCCCTCCAGGCTGGACGTCAGCGTCCAGCGGCCCCTGGCTGCCTGCTGCATGGAAGGGGTCCCGGCCCAGCCCCCAGCCAGCGGGCCCTGCACCGGCCTCCGTCCCCGCCTGGCATTGCGTGTCACCCCCCTGGAGGCCGGGGCTAGCGGAGCCGGTCCTGTTGGGCGGGGCCTCAGCGGGCAGAGCGGCCGGCGAATGCTCACCTCCTTCAGGAGCTTGGCACACCTCCCTGTGGACGGGGCGTGTGAGGGATGCGGACGTGCCCGGACCCCACCCACTGGCCAGAGGGCACCATTAAAGGCCTTGCCCCTCAGGCAGCCCTCGGGGCTAGGCCTGCCCCCCAACCTTGGCTCTGCCACAGAGAGATCCCGCCACCCTCAGCCCCCAGGCCCCTCCCCTCCTTCCACGTGCGGAGAGGAGAGATGGAGGGGGGGGGCCCAGCCCGGCGGGAGCAGGGGCAGGGGCTCACCGGCCGCAGCAGGTTGACGCAGGTCGCTGTGGACGAGAGGGAGAGTGAGGCGGGCAGGGCTAGGGAGGCGCCGCCCCGGAGGCCTGGCCGGGCCCAGCACTCACTGTCCCAGGTGTTCAGGTGCACGTCCTTCGGGGAGAGCCCGTAGTCCTTGGCCACCAGGTGGAACTTGTCCAGGACTTCCTTGTCCTGCTCCAGGGCCCGGCCTGTGACGGACGGGGTTCGACATGGGCCGGAGCCCCCTGCCGTCCCCGCCCCCCGCTCCCCGCCCCATCCAGCTCCCAGCGCCCTCTGCCCGTCAGAGCGGGGTCCCCACGAAGCAGCAGACCGCCCCGTCCGCCCAGCGGGCTTACTATAGAGCTTCAGGACCCGGATGCTGGCCGCTCCGCGGTGGAGCTGCACGTCCAGGATGGCGTAGGTCTCGTAGTCCGTGCTCACCACCGAGATCTCCTTGTCTCCTGGGGACGAGCCAGGCCCAGGGCTCCCGGCTTGGCAGGGCCCCTCCGCCCTCACCGCCTCCCGCAGGCCAAGCCCCCAGAGCTGGCCCTACTCTCTCTCGTGCATGCACACACACGTACACGTGTACACATATATGTGCACATGCGTGTGTGGATGCACAAACATACATGTGTGCACGTACATGTGTGTGTGTGTGTGTGTGCGCGCGCACATACGCCTGTGCACACACACACGCCGGAGCACCGGAGTGGGCCCTCTGGGTTTCCTGACGGGACCTCCCTGAGGATAGTGGCCAGGGGGCCCTGCTGACCGGGGAAAAGACACCTAATCAGACATGTCCCAGGCCTTTTGGAGAGGAGGGCGCACAGCCCTCAGGGAGACCCCGGAGCTGAGGCCGCAGGCCCGGCCCGGAGCTGCACAGAGGGCTCCGGCCAGGGGACCAGGGGCGCCCCCCCGAGGCAGCTCCCCACCCTCTGTGGCCTGCAGGGCTGAGCAGGAGCCCTGAGGGCAGGCCGAGGGTCCCCAGAGGCCCCCTGCTCGCCCCGTCCGGACTCAGAGGGAATGAGGCCGCGGCAGCTCCTTACCAAACTCTTTGGGAAGCTTGAACTTCCCCGGGACGTCCCCCTTCATGGCCAGCCGCTTGTCCTTCACGCAGCCGGTCTCACTGGGGAGCACAGAGCCTGCAGCAGCCGCCCCCACCAGGCCCCCACTCTGGGCAGCAGCAGCCCTGAGACCACCGGGAGCCCCCTGCCGGCCCCCTCCGTCTCCCCCGGTCCTGCCCCCCAACTCCCCCCCCCCGCCCCTCACGGCTCCAGGCCACGTGCGTGGGAGCCAGCAGACAGCACGGGCCCATGGCCAGGGGTGCGGGAAAGGGCAGCCGACCAATAGCTGCCAAGCCAGGCTTGACCTGGGGGCCCTGACTCCT